TGGTCCAGACTGTACCCCGAGAAGAGCACTACATGTTTTGGGTAGCCTTGCGTCTGACCACACGGTATCTAACTTATGTGACGGACAATACGATGGTGTTTGACGGTTGGTGGTCTCGGAAATGTTTGCACCCGTCTGGTGAGCATGCAGAGCTGTGGGCCAAAATCGGTCTACGGTTTCGTAATTCGGGTAGACGGCCAGAACATGTGACGGTGCTGCTTACAAATGTATACTTAGAAGCTGGGGAGATTGTTGCTAATCGTACAGGTGCATCTTGGTTGACGGTGGGGAATGCTGCAGCTGATACACTTGCGGGTGAGGGTGCCGCGGTTGCGCGCCTCCCAGAGTCGGTTCGGTCCCTGTAACTCATCCGCATGAGGATACTGCGAACTCACATCGACGCGATGGAGGCCGAGAAGCAGCTGCAGCCGAACCACCAGCAGGGAGGTCGGCACCCGAGGCGAGGAGCTCGGGGATCCAACGGTGGTGAGGGAAGCGGTGAGCCTGCTGTTGCTGACGTCCCCCCCCATCCTCCCCCGCCCCCGAGCTTGGACACTATTTCGGCCTTTGAGACGGCCCGTGCCCGTGCCGAATGTGGTCGGTGCTGGCTGCGGTGCCGTGGGTCCGCGTCGGCTGCTCGCGTGCAGGCATGGCGTAAGTCTCCGTTGTTTCAGTTAGTTGCTTTAGTTTAGGTAGCTCCCTTCGTGCACTTCCTGAGGGGGCCACCATTCACATTGCTGGGGGGTTTTGTGACCCCTCCAATTGTATGAAGTTTCATTCCGATTAAAGTTTTGGTAGTTGCGGGATGTACGGGGACAAGCAGCTCCTGAGCCTTGGGAAGGTTTGCGTCCCCCGACCCACACCCACGAGGAGGGAAAATCTCCGTCTGATCAGTGTTGGGCGATGGCCCAAGGTCTATAGTAAAGCATAATTAGCTCGTAAAGCCCAGAAGAGGTCTTCATGAGTGTTGGAAGGCCTACGTCCAGGGACTCCAACTCCAACTCCAACTCCAACTCCTCCTCCTCGTCCTCCTCCTCCTCCTCCTTCTCCTCCTCCTCCTCCTCCTCCCGCTCCTCCTCCTCGTTTTCCTCCTCCTCCTTCTCCTCCTCCTCCGCCTTCCTCCTCCTCCTCCTCCTCCTCCTCCTCCACCTGCTGCTGCTGCTGCTGCTCATCCTCCTGCTGCTGCTGCAGCTCCTCTTGCCCCTCCTCCCTTTCCTCCTCCTCGCGAGTGGGGAGGGGGGAAGGGGCCGTACTCAGAGAAAAAGAGGGGCCCCTGAAATCTGGGAGATGCGGTGGCCCCGGCCATGATACGTCCCCCAAGTCCTCACCCCCCCCCCTTCGGCGCACCTGAGAGGGGGCGGACGCAGAGGGCGGATTGTGTAGGGTGTGGTTTGGTCAGAGCTCGGCTTCGACGCATAGCGTGGGGATTGTAGGCAGCGCCGTCAATAGGGCAGACCACGAGGCGCAGATCGCGTGCGAAGAAAACACGTCGCGCTCGAATGCCTAGATTTGCAAGGACCGGATGATCGAAGAATCGGCTACACGTAGAAATTAGTTACCTTAGGCAAGAATGACCTTCGGAACGCGACCCAACGGGGGACGCGTGGTGACCAAACCCGGGCGCGCAAGCCGCTGCTACCACTTCGCGCTCTGTGATCGGGCGATCGGGGGACCCCATTTGATCGAGCCACTCAAGTCCTGGTAATGATAGGATCTGGGATTTAGAAAATCGGCCCCAGATTTAGCAAATCCGTTAAATCTAGTAAAACGGTTCTTGCGTTTACTAAACGATGGTTTGTCTCGTTTTGATTAGGCGGCGCAATTGAATAACACCGTTTATCGCTTTAGTAAATCATCGCTTGTTTCAATAACTTGCTTTCAGAATGCGCGTTCATGTATTACCATGACCTATGTTAGCCGGTGACTACTGGGCCCGCACCAAAGGTCACTCCGACGAAAGGACACTTCGCGCATGCCCGAAGAAGGCTGCGGGCACTGCCAGCACTGCTGGCTCCGACCTGTGGACCTCCCCGCGGGCTGGCGCCCTGGGAGCCTCCTGGGGCCGGCTCCTTCCCCTCCCCCTCTCAGGAGGAGACGGCCGGGAAGAGGATGTGGACGAGCGTGAGGGGAAGGGGCAGAAGGAGGAGGAGGAGGAGGGGCAGAAGGAGAAGGAGGGGCAGGAGGAGGAGGAGGGGCAGGAGGAGGAGGAGGAGGAGGAGGAGGAGGAGGAGGAGGAGAGGAGGAGAGGAGGAGGAGGGAGGAGGAGGAGGAGGAGGAGGAGGGGAGGAGGAGGAGGAGGAGGAGGAGGAGGAGGAGGAGGAGGAGGACGAGAAGGGGCAGGAGGAGGAGGGAGTAGGAGGAGGAGGAGGAGGAGGAGGAGGAGGAGGAGGAGGGCGCAGAGAGGGAGGCGATTGGAGCGCCGGGCACCGCCTCCGCCGGGAGCCCCGTCGGCGGCCGCGGCCTGAGCGCGCCGCGGTTTTCCAGACGGCCTGGTGCGCTCTGCGGCCGCGGGGGCGGCTGGGGGAGCACGTGGCTCGGTTGGGCGTCGCTGACTGGGGGGAGCGATTTAACGGAAGGAGGAGGAGGAGGAGGAGGAGGAGGAGGAGGAGGAGGAGGAGGATGAGGATGAGGATGAGGATGATGATGATGAGGAGGAGGAGGAGGAGGAGGAGGAGGAGGGAAGGAGGTGGAATGGATGCGAGCAGCTCCCCTGGGCACAGAGCCTCGGACCCCCAGGGGGGGGGACGAAAGGTGCACTGTTCCAGCCCTGGAGGCCCCCTTTGTGGCCCCACTGGGCGCCTTCCGGGGCCCCTTTTCTGCAGCCCTCGCTGCCCCCCCCACCCCCACCCCATGCATCGCCCCCCAATTACGCGGCGCCCAACTCGGTGGACATAGCGCGGCTCTGGGCGGGCGGAGAGCGAGGGGGCAAGCGGAGCAGGAGCGCCAGGGAGGAGCGCCACGGAGGATCGGGGGCGGACGACGGGGGGGGGACAGCAAGAGGGCTTGGCAGCTCAGCTCACGCAGCTGGCTCTCCATGCGCTGAAGAATGCTCGTGGCAGCGGGGCCGAACACAGCTGAGTGCAGCAGATGTCGTCCGGTCAACGTGCCAAGGCGGGAACGACTGCGATGTTTAACGGTGACGTTGGGAATGAAAGCTGCAGGGAATCACGAACCACACTTTCCTGCATTTCCATCATGCGAATAGGTCGAGCGAACACGACACGGCGAGAGGTGGGGAAGCGCGAGCCGCGTGCTCCTACACTACGGAAACCCACATCGCCGCTACCTACATCGCCGTTCGTGCGCCTACGGTGAATGCAGCAGATATCGTACAGACATCGTGCTGCCATACGTGCCACTGAAGAAAGAACGAACGGGGTCGCTCTGGCCACGGCGAGCCTCGCCCACGCACAGGTTCCCTGGCCTCGATGTGAGGAATAGCCCCAAGACCACAACCCCTGCTGAACCCAACGACGTCCTTGTCTCCGCGCCTCCTCCTCCTCATCCATCTCCTCCTCCTCCTCCTCCTCCTCCTCCTCCTCCTCCTCCTCCTCCTCCTCCATCTCCTCCATCTCCTCCATCTCCTCTCGGGGCGAACGAAAGGCGGAGATAGCACAGGGGGGCGGCAGCGAACCAACTCACGTAACTGGCTCTCCCGCCGCCTCCCGACGAAAGAGGCGACCCTGTATCCAGAAAAGCGCCCTGAGGCGAGACCGAACCCAGCTGCGCGCAACAGATTTTACAGCCCCACCTTTCCTTATCACCCCTGTTCGCCCGACCCCATCGCCCTCTGAGGACCCTCGACCCCCCCCCCATCCTCCTGACATCCCCTCCTCCTCTGGTGCGTCTCCTGCTGCTGACTCCACGTCCTCCTCCTCCTCCTCCTCCTCCTCCTCTGAGGCTCCTCCTCCTCCTCCTCCTGCCTGCCTCCTGCTCCATCTCCTTCTCCTCGCGATTTTCCTCCTCGTTATCCTTGCCTCCTCCTCCTCCTCCTCCTCCACCTCTTCGTCGTCGTCCTCCTCCTCCCCTCCTCCATTCCATTTCCTTATAAAGAACTCCCTGTCGCGCCCCGAGGCCGATCGAAAGGGCGGGCCAGGCGTTTCGCTTGAGACTTCCTCACTATTTCTGATCCTGAAACGTACAAGTTGGCAAGGATTTCCCAAATGGGGGGGCGGGTGGTTTTCAAAACGTTGCTCCCGCCTTTAGCGCCGCGCACACTCCCGTAAATTTGCATCAGCTTCACGGATTGAGGGCGGGTGGTTTTCAAGATGTGGCTTTCGCCCTGGCGCCGCGCACACTCCTTCCGAACGATTGCGACAGCTTCGCGGATGGATGGCGAGTGGTTTTGTAACATGTGGCTCTCGCCCTCTCGCCCCAGCGCGGCGCACATTCGCCTCAACAAGCTGCAAGAGATTCGTGGAGGGAGGGCGGGTGGTTTTCAAGATGTGGCTCTCGCCTTCGCGCCGCGCCCGTTCGTCTCAAACACTTGCACGAGCTTCACGGATCGAGGGTGGGTGGCTCTCAAAACGTGGCTCTCGCCCCAGCGCCACGCACATTCATGTTAAACACTTGCAAAAGCTTCACATGTTCCCGTGGTAGGCGTACTCGAAAGTGTGTTCAGAACGATTCAGGATCGTCATGGGCGTAACAGTTACGTTGCTTCGCGGTGTTGAAGTCCCACGAGCGGTGTTCTGGCACGCTCCAGGATCGCCAAGACGCAACACTCACGTTGATTCGTGGCGTTGAAGTCCCGAGAATGGTGTCTTGGCACGCTTCAGGGTCTTCAAACGGTTGTCTACCAACGGAGCACTTGCATCAGTGGAACTGAATCCTTGCCGGGGCCTGTGAAGAGGGAGCTTGGAGGGAGGCTTTCTTCTAACATCGTTGGTGAGTCTTGGGTTCGCACTGGACCTCCTCCTCCACACCTCCTGTGATGCCCCCCCCGACACAAAAACACTGTCCTCCGCCGCGGCGCCCTCGGACGACACGGCAGCGCCCGCCTCGCAGCGGCGGAAGAAGGCGAGGCGCCCTCGCCAGAGGTACAGCCCTGCGGGGGGGGGGGATTGGGCGGGGCGGCAGGAAGAGGGACGGCAGGGGAGGGGGGGAGGGGAGGAAGGAGGACCAGGGCGGACGGCAAGGGGGGAGGTATCTAGAGAGCATAAAATCCCCCCCCACAATAAGCACCCCGACAAGCAAAGCCGTGTAGTAAACGCACACATGAAAGGAATCGAACAGGACAGTGCTGTTTAGTGAACGCCCAAGGCCGTTTAATAAACGCCGGTTGTGGGGGTCGGGGTGGTCTCCCTTGAACATCAACACCGAAAATGTGCGTGGGGGCGGGGAAGAAACCGGCTGCACGCAGCAGATGTCGCACTTCCCCCTTTCACAAATCCCTCCTGTTCGGCCGACCCCACAAGAGGTGGAGACAGGAGCGGTCAGTGTCAAATCGCGGAATTGGATCGGATCAGAATGTGCATCGAATCGGGCTGCGGCGGCACGGCTTCGAAACAAATCGGACTGGCCCCCACCAAAATGCGTAACTAACAGAGCCATGCGAACGTCCGGCCGCATCGGATGGACGGAACACCGGAACCGGATCGAACAGGGCCAGCCGAAACCACCACCGGATCGGATCGATTAGAGCGAAGTTGGCCCCAGGAGGCGGGGGATGAAGAGGAGAACGAGGATGACCCGGGAAGTGGTGGGAGGTTCGAGGACCGACGTTTGGGACGCTGCTGGCCCTACCGTGGCCCCTTGATCTCATGGGGACCTCGGGGAGTCCTCTGCAGGACCTTTGCTTCCTCTTCCTCCGAGGAACTCCAGAGACCTCCAGAGAGGGAGAAGGGGGAGGCGGGGCGGAGGGGGACGTCGGGGAGGAGGAGGAGGAGGAGGAGGAGGAGGAGGAGCAGCAACCCGAACCTGAGCCAGCCTCGGCTACCGAGTCTCCTTCGGAACCTGGCCAAGACTGCCCAGCAAGCTGTCACGTCGCGTCGAGGGCCTGCAATCTTCAGGATGAGGAGGTGGAGGAGGAGGACCAATGGAAACGCAAGACTCGTCAACGATGTGGCAATGCACCCTCCCTCCAATGTCCCTCTTCACGGGTCCCTGCAACAAAAATACTGTCTCTGCGGGAGGTGCCCCAGTGGAAGACAACCGTCTCAAAGTCTTCAGCCATGCTGAAGCACCATTCCTAGGACCTCAACGCCGCGAATCAACGTCACTGCTTCGTGTGGGGTTTCAGCACATCAGATTAGCGTGACGGTCGCGCCTTGACAAGTCTAACTTGTGCCAAAACACCAGTTCTATGTCGTCAACCATCGGAGTCATCGAAACTGCTGTAAGCTGTTGAGACGAATGTGCGCGGCACTGAGGCGAGAGCCACTTCGTGAACACCACCTGCCCTCCATCTTCCAAGCTCTTGCAAACTTTTTGAGACGAATGTGCGCGGCGCTCAGGCGAGAACCACATGTTGACCACCACCCGCCCTCCACCCGTGAAGATCTTGCAACTGTTTAAAACGAATGCACGCGGCACTACACTGCGAGCCACAATTTGAACACCAATCGCCCTCCATCCGTGAAGCTGTTGCAAATCCCACCAACCCTTTAGGGCGTGAGTGGTTTAGACCGTTTCCTCTTCCACCCCCCTGCTTCCCCTTCGGGGGAGAGGTTTACCCTTCCCCCTCCCCCCAGAGGAGGATCCGCGGTTCGTTGGAGCGTCCAAGATGGCCTCGGCGAGAAAGCCAACAAGATGTATGTTACTTAGGGTTTTTGCCACATTCGAGCCTCCTGGGGGGGGGGGACCTTGATTGGAACCTCCCCCTTCTTTGATCGATCACCTCCAACATGGTCCCCGAAGCTCTGGAGGGTGCGCCAAGACGGCCCCCAGAGATGCCACGGAGGCCATACGAGAACCCCCAGGAGGCTGCCAAGGTGCCCCCAAGAGGCCCCAAGAGGCCCCCCAAGACGCCCCCAAGAGGCCTCGGCGAGAAGGCCCCACATGTTGGCCTCCTGGGAGAGGGACCCTTATTCAGGAGCCCCCCTCCTTTGGTCGATCTCCTCCAAGATGGCCCCCGAGGCCCCCAAGACTACCCTAAGATGACCCCAAGAGGCCCCAAAGAGGCCCCAAGCGCCCCCCAAGAAGCCCCCCAAACGCCCCCAAGAGGCTCCCATAAAGGCCCCCCAGAGACATCCAAGACGCCCCCAGGAGTGCCAAGAGACCTCCAAGACGCCCCAAGAGGACTCCCAGAAACTCTCGAAAGAGATCCGTAGAGAGTCCGAGAGACATCCAAGAGGCCTCTGGCCTTTCTGCTCGCCTTCCTCCTCCTCCTCATCATCTTCTTCCTCATCCGTCCATTCCTCCTCCTTACTCCTTTTTGACGTTGCTCGGACTTAGTGAACTAGCGCGCAGCGTTCTACCTCCTTCCCCCTCTGCATCTCATCCTCCTCCTCCTCATCCTCCTCCTCCTTCTTCTCCTCCTCCTGCTTCTCCTCCCCTTTTTGGGTATGACCTCTTACCCAGCCCTTTATTCCACTGCATGCTCCTTCACATCCCTGGTCAAGGCAACTCGTCTGGGCATCGTTTCTGGGTGAGGAAGTCCCAAGTAAAACGCCTAGCCCGCCCTACCGACCCGCCTCTGGGTGCGACCGGGAGGAGTTATCTACACGTAAGGGAAGAGGGACGGAGGAGGGGGGTTGGTTTAGACCCCGCGGTCGCGTTCCAACCGCCTTCGAATTCTAGTTCCCTCTTGATCTGTCCTCCCCCCTCTCCCGCTCTCTTTGGTCGTTCTTTTATGTATTCTAAGGGGTGTGTCCTACCGCTTGTGGTCAGGTGGAATTAACCAGCCTCGAACGTATCCCTATCCCTAAGATGGGCGAGCAAAAAGCGAGGACAATCTTAGGGATAGGCCCTCAAAAGCTAAGAGAATCCTTAAGATCGGCATCGAGGTGAGGTGATGTCAAACATAGGGATAGGGATATGTTCCAGGCTGATAAGGAATGTCGCCCCCCGCCTGGGCTCTGAGAAACACCTCCGGGACGGACGCCCCCCTCTCGTTACCTGCTTCGGAGATTCGGCCGACACGCCCAACCCCGGCGGACAACCCCGCTGGGGTTGCGGCTTCAACCCCGCGCGCTGCACCGCCCCCGACGGATGCCTCCCTGCGGAGACCCTTCGCGGACTCCTGGAGTCCTGATTTGGACGCCCGAAATAGGTACGGAAAGAATGGGTACAATGCCCAACAAATGTTGTCTCAAACCAACAGCGGCCGCTGTTGGGCAGGCGGCCCTCTGTCTCGAATGGACACAGGCCGCGGCGGCGCGGACAGCGAGTCCTGTTCAAAATGAGCAAAAACTGCTGTTGGGCTTGGTACCCATTCTTTCCGTACGCGCCCCCCCGTCCCATTTCCACTAACCGGAGCTGCCGTCACCCGAAAAAACACCAGCTACGGCAAAGCTGGTTGAGTGATTCTGGCCAACTCAAGGGCTCCGGGGCCCTACCACTAACCGGGCCCCCTTACCCGGGGTCCTGGCCATACCCGACTGAGGCCTCCGTCCGTCGTGCCGCCTCTGCACCGGCGGCGCGGCGCGATGCTCCGACCCCGGCCCGGTTCTGGGAAGCCTGCAGTCGAACCTGGCTGGACGGGACGCGCGAGAGGACACGGGAGCTCGTAAGATCTCCTGGGGGCTCCTAAGATCTCGTGGGCTCTCCCGGGGTCGCCATGGGCCCTCCTAGAGCCTCCGTGGGCACGGGATCGTATTCCAACAACTCCTCCTACAGTCGGCCTTGATTGGACAGGACACGCGAGAGGACGCAAGACTCTTCCGAGGACCACGTTGCCACAGGAACGTACGAGGCACGGGTCGCGAGACGCAGCACACAAGGGTACCCTTGATTCGGCAGGGCCGACCTGCTCATCCGGGCCGACTTGCATATCCTGCCCCCCCTCTTCCTCCTCTCCGCCCCCCTCCCCGTCCCCCCCAGGCCAATCGAAGACCGAACGCGAGGGCGGCCGAGGACGCATCCCTGGAGGCGGCCCCGCCCCGGGAGACCAGGCCACTCCGCCGACTCACAGACTGGCAGCCTCCCCCCCCCCGAGACAGGAGCCCTACGGAGGAGGCCAGCTCGTCCCCCATCCTTGGGCCTCCTCCCCTCTCCCCCCAGGAGGATGACAAGGGAGGAGCTGGAAGAGGAAGGGAAGATGGCTTCCTGGCGCCACCCTGGACGCTCCAAGCTTCCTGCGCTTGGCCCCTCCCGATTCCCACCGCCCCCTCCCCCGCGCGACGGACCATGTCGAGAACTCCTCAACCTCCAGCTTCTCGTGTTCTCCCTCCTGCTCCTGCACACACACCTTACATTGCTCTTGTCATTGTTCCTCTCATCCTCTCCGATCCTCCTCCTCCTAGTCTGAATCATCCTCCGAGTCCCCTTCCCGTCTTCTTCGAGATATTTACTCTCATCTCCTCTCCTCTCCTCCCCTCCTTCTCCGAATCATCATCGTTCCTCCCTCCTCCATCCTCCTCCTCCTCCTCCTCCTTCTCCGCCTTTTTCTACTGATCCTCATCATGCACCTCGCCATCATTGTGGTCCTTCTCTCTCGTCTATCCTCCTCTTCCTCCTCCTCCTCGTCCTCCCTCCATCCCTCCCTCCCTCGCCCACCGCCTCTTTCTTCCTCATCCTCCTGCTTAATTTCAAGTCCCCCATCCCCTCCTCCTCATCGTTGCTCCCTCCTCCCTCCTCATCCTCCTGCTCCTCCATCTGCCCCTTCAGCAACTTCATAGACCACGGCGACATTCCCGTGCAAGGGGCCACGAGTGAAGCATCTGTCATCCCATGCACCGTGTCCCGGTGGCGGGCTGGAGTGCGCCCGCAACGCCAGCTGGTTGCTCCCCTCCGCTTCGGACGCCCCTGGTGTCCCGTCGACGCGCGGCCCTCCATGGAGCGCAACGGCATGCACGATCGCAGAGGAGGGCGACGACGACGAGGCGCAGGGGAAGAGACAGCCTGCGGCAGCATCTGCGCTCGAAGCATCTCGTGGGTCTGGAACGC